ATAATAAATAAATAAATATAAATTGATACAAATCCCGACTAAAAGCATTTGTCAGCTTCATTTGCATTAGGTTTATTTTACTTTAAAAACGAAAAAGTTTTCGTTTGCGAGCAGGAAATTAAGCTGCCGGTTTAATATCTTATAAATACATAGATACTTTGGGCAAAGAAAACCTGATAAATAAGGTAAAATTGTATCTAACAGATATATATAAATAAATATGCATGTAAAAGTGCCTGAAATATCTATAAAACTAAATTGAGCACAGCAACTAGTACATAAATAAGTAATGCGTGCGTGTATATATATCTTATAGATACATATATATCTTACAGATACATTTACGCATGCATATAGTATTTACACATATATGTGAGCATTAAGCACAAAGGCTCAAGTTCTCTTTGGCGCAACATGCGAGAAATTCTTGTTTCTTTTGTTTCACTTCAAATTTATGGTTCATTTAGATTAGATTCCTTTATTGTATTTATGTAAATCTAAGTTTTAGCTTTAACGGGAAATGCTCTGCCTCACATTAATCGAGATACCGAATAAATTATGGGTTTAATAGTGCCCATTTACACGCAATCGACATGTATAAGACTCTCAGTTTCTGCATGAAATTGAATATACTTATCAGAAGGGAGTTAAGACAAATTTAAGGCGTTAGTCGCATGACTTAAGAAATAAATTATTTGAAATTTTCTTTCTTCTAACTTTGTGTCCTCTATATCAAAGGATCGTTAGCCGAACTATTAAATTAACATTCAATTGACAGGCAAAATGTTAAACCGAAAGAATTGAAATCTTTACATTAAAATGCATCCTCAGGGAATCATATAAACATTGAGATTTTTCTCATAAAAACTTATTTTACTCAATTAAACTCAACTATTATAGAATTGATAAAGCTCTTTAGCAAGATGTTAAGTGTTCTATTTTGTTTGTTTCGTTATTTGCAGCTGTTCAGCATTAAAAGCAATTAACATGTACGTATTCGTATATCTATGTAACTGTTTATTTATTGTAGCAGTTATTGTCCGGTTTTGCCCGTGCTACGTATGCTTCTTATTCATTTTGATATATTTATAGCAATCCCGCACTTGGGAAAATCAATATTAACCCGTAATCCATTTAAATTCGATCGAATGCTATACCCTTAATTTGTACAGAATTTGTTTCCACTTATTTTCCACACATAAGAGCGGAATTTCAAATATTCTGTCGGTTTTATAAGTAATTACCATAAACTTCTCTTGTCTGAACCTGATTCGGTTACAAACTACATAAAAGAACTCAAAAAGGGCAAGGAATGTTTTAAGATTGGTAAAAAGAAGTAAAGCAAAAGGTTAATGAATAAAAAAGGGAATAAATCGTGAGTGTGAAATAACATTAAAGTTCCTGGTATGAACATAACATGTGTGTCTCAGACCTGGACTAAACAAACCTAAATTCATATGTAAGGAACCTCAAATCGGTTCTAGAAGTGTAATGAATATGGAACTATTTTTTGTTTTTCCAATTAAAGCACGAATTACTTTTTATTTCACACAGCAAATCGCACAGAACTTGTGAAAGTCAAATGTGGAACAGTTTTAGCGGGCTTTCAAATATTTGATACAAGAAAGTTCATAGAACATGCGAATAACTATCTTCTCGACAAGTCTGATTTCTAGAAGTTCTATATAACTATCTTCTAGACAAGTCTGTTTCCTGGAAGTTCCAAGTCTGTGGCTTCCTCTGTGCTTTATAAAGTTAATGGTATAATAGACCGGGGAGTATTCGATAAACGATTGCCTATGTACACATGTATTTGAAATACAAATGCAATTTGTCTTGATTTATTGGATTTGGCTGCTTCTTTTTTGGGCTGCTTCGTTTTGATATTGTTATGTACCTGTTCGGCACGCACAAGCACAGCGATAAAGCAACAGGGGAAGAGATGAGAAGAAAGAGAGTGAGAGCACACACACACACACACACAAGCAGACGTGGACATACATATATACATGTTTCGAGGTATTTGTTTACATACAAAGCACATATTTAGGTTGCCAAACTGTAAACGTTGCTGTTGCAGTTGCAGCTGTAGCTGAAGTGGGGCAAGAATCGCGGCTGCATTTTTAGCAAACTTATGTTTTACATTTTGAGCGCATGCAACGTGTACGTTGTGCACACATGCACAGCCACACACACACACACACACACACACGCACATGCACTATGCACATACATTTGTGTGTGTGTGTGTGTAGTTTTACTAATCAAATAAAAATAGCATTTACGTTGTCCTTCTTTATTAATGAAATTGGCACAAAGCGAAACAAAACTAGCTACACATGCATACACATATACATACACACAAACATATACAGACATGAATTTGCGTACAGTGGCTCAACATTTATCAAATACTCGACGTACATTATTTAAGCTTTAATTTGAATGCACAAAACTTAAGCCTGTATTTTCAAATATTGTTTGTATATCATCATTCCCCCCTTTCAAATTCACAGTGTACTCTTGTTGTTGTAGCTTTTAATTAAATTAAATGAATCAGCAGCGATAAAATGTTTAATTGAAACACTTTAAGCTCATTTATAAACGCAACATTCAAGTACAATTAGACAATATCTATCCGATCTTAGTTCTATGGTTTTCGAATGGCACCAATTGGCTTTAGCATCTTTCTCTTATTCGAATTCTAACAAGAACACAATCGAGAAATTTATGAAAAATTGCCTGCAACCTTTTATTTTACCACTGTGCACGCTGTTTACAATTCTTCACTTGTGCTTTGCTCGTCCATTCGTTCTCCCCCTCACACGAGCACGAACACAAACACACAAGCATACAAACACACAAACACAAATACAATCAAATTCATGCTCTCTCGCTCTCTCGTTGTTGCCAGTGTTGGCGCTCTTGTTGTTTTTATTGTATATGTAGTCAGAGTGGCGCGCACAAGTTGGATTTCGTAGTATTTGTAGTATTTATGCACATACATACAAACATATTAAGCTATGTAAATACGCTTGTTCATAAGTGTTTTCGTATGGATGTGTGCGTGTGTGCATTCAAGTAATGTAATGTTGTTATAAACTAATAAAAATAAAAATAAATATTTTCTCAAAACGACGAAGAAAACAAAACAAAAGTGAATAATAGCCAGCCCCACAACTACGGCAATGAGAAAATGGGTCGAAAGTGGGAGAAGTAAAACTGACTGACTGACTGGCTTGTGGGCTAAAGAGGGGAAAAGGGTAAAGGGGAAAGAAAAACAAAACTACAATTCATTTTAGAAAAGAAAAAATAAAAGAGAAGAGAATAATGCTTTTATGTGGCACTGGCATGGGAAATGAGGAAAGGGAGTGCTACGGGTTAGTAGGTGGGGGAGAGCTTAGGAGGTAGAAGGTGATGTTAATGGTACGGGTTGGGGTAGGGGTGGGGCAAGGGCACACAACTACACTGCGGAAGTTCATGCACAGACACAAGCACAAAATATCCATGTTGCGTGTGTGTGAATGTGTGTGTGTGCTTAAGCGCGCGGATATTGTGCAAGAACTGATTGTGGGGCGGGCAAAACGGAAGGGGCAGGTTAAACGAACGAAGCTTTTAAATAATAAAACAAGCAGCTGCCTGCACCACCCCAAAAGCAGAGCTATAATATAATGATGAATATTGATTACAGATCATGTACCTAAGGGATCATAATAAATACTTAACATATATGTGTGCGCGCAATTTCTTGTTTTACTTTTTTTTCGAAGGTTTAAAAAATACTCATTTTTTTTAATGATACTCGGCACATTTTTATAATAAAAGATGACAACAAAAACAACAGCTGAAATTAAACTGTTAGTGCACACTGTACTTCACTTCATTTGTTATCTCTTTCGCTCTCTCTCTCTCTTTTGCTTCTCCATGCGACTCTGCCGCTCTCTTCTTTGCCTACGCATTACACGTTGTTTTGCCACTCTCATTTGATAGTCGCACGGAATGTAGACTTACATATACATATGTACATATACGCATGCATGCTTGTGTGTATGCATGTGAGCATGAATGTACACATTTATGTATTTAGTTAAATGCGAGGGGGCTGGGACAGGCAGGGTATTTTATAGAAAACATTATTTAATTACCAGTAATTTAAAATCCAACTGTGTAGTTTTGTTATCCATTTTGTTGTTGGTTTCTGCATTTGGCTGAATTTTATTTATACGTTTCACTTACACACACACACATACACTTACACACTTGCACTGCGCATACAAGCACAATTTTATGATACACACACATACATACAGTACGTACGTATGTATTTTATTATTTCGATTTTTCTTTACTTGTGTGTTTCGCGTTTCTTCTACTTGCTCGCAACAGCGCAGCTCTTTTTTTTGTGTTATTTCATTTTCATCATTTTTCTTTTGCCCTTTTATACGTTAACGTTGACGGCTACTGCGGATGTCGCTGTTGCGGCTGCTTCTACACAACTTTTTTCTGTATTGACAACATTGAGATATTGCCATTGGTTTCACATTTTATTGCATAAATTAACAATATCAAATGCTTAACGAATATTTGTACACTTTAACAATTGCTGCTGCCTGATTGCCACTTTCTGTGGCACGCACACACAGACACACACTCACACCGACGCGCGCTCAATGATGATCTGCTGCGTAGGAAAAATTTCCTAATGTTTGCTTTTATTTCTATACCGATGCGCGCAATATATTTTAGTAATTTTCCATCAATGGAAACCGATTATTTACTATTTTTACAAATTTAGTTTAGTTTCTTAGGAGCAAAAACTGCAAAAAGCGACGGAATTTCCACAAAATGTTTTGTACGGTATTTTTTTAGTGCATACGAAAAAACAGGTCATTTTTAGGCAATTTCTGACGATGACTGCCAACTCGCTTGAATTGTCAGAGTTGCCACATCGCATACTTATCGTCATCGCTATCGCCAATCAATTTCATTTCCTAAACCCATAATTTTGAAATTTTATTTCATATACAAAATTAACTTTTTCCATTCTAATTACAAGTTATTCATGTACCATCTCATGCAACACAGACTGCTTAGGATTTCGACTGTTGCTGAGCTTGCTTCTCTTTCTTAGCGGCTTCTGCTTCAGCCTCCAACTTGTTGTATTTCTCAATTAACTTCTCCACATCGGGCTTTTCCAGAACGCTGTACACCGTTGTGTTGTTAATGCGCTGCAAAGTGGCCATTTCGACCTTCTCTGTGGTCAGCTTTGTTGTGTCCAAAGTCTTGCTCAGAACCTTGATGGCCAAATCCTTGGCCTCATCCAACTTAATGTTGTCCTTGTCGGCCAGCTCCTGCTTTAGCATAGAAATCGCGGCACCAAAGTTGTTGCCAATGCAAGTGGCCTTCCAGCCTCCATAATTGCCACTGGGATCGGACTGATATAGCTGATAGCCATACTTGCTATCCCAGCCCATGTAGAGCAACGACACGCCGAAGGGGCGCTTGCCGCCGTATTGAGTGTACGCCTGCTTGATGTCGCACAAGTGGGAGACGAGCTGCTCGCATGGAATCACCTCGCCATAGCTGAACTGATAGCGCTGGGCGATCAAACGCAGCTCGGAGGTCAACACATTTGCATCGGACGTAATGCCCGCCACGGAGCAGACCATATTTCTAAAAATTACATTTTGAATTTACTATTTAATTCATTGGTGTACATTTTTGTAGCTTACTCATTCAGCCGGTAAATCTTTTCGGATGGAATAGCGTTGTCTAGCAACTTGTTTGTGCTGCGGCATTCGGCTGCAAGCACAATACCGTCCTCTGCCAGAATGCCCAGGCATGTGCCGGCATGGGATATGGCCTCCATGGCGTACTCCACTTGGTAGAGGCGACCCTCGGGCGAAAAGATAGTTGTGCGGGAATCATAGCGACGCGCCTGGAAAAGTCGGCGAAAAAGAATTATAAAGGTGATTAGGCAAATTGCACATGCATGTGCAAGCCGACGAGCTTGTGTCTGTTAAACTCTATGCTTACATCAGATTAGCTTAATTGTGGATGGTGCATAAAATGTACTTACCATTTTATATTAATTTGAAAGTATAGACAATTTTTTGTATGAAATTAAGCAAATATGCGGCGTCGAGTATTGTTTCTGCCAAATTATACTTGTCATCGCCGAACAGAGTTGTCGCCTTACTTTAGTTTGGTATTCAATAAGGGAACAAATATATCGATAGTTTTCTATATTAGGATTTGGACCGAATGTGTAGAAGCTATAGAATAAAGAAGCTTTTTAATTAAAATTTCATTGTGGCTAATACTTAAAATATGGAGTGTTTGTTTTAATATTAAAAACATTATTTTTAATCGACTTAATCAATACATCGATAATAATGCAAACTATCGATTTCCAAGAAACCAACGATATGTCCAGTGTTTCCACTGATTGATGCACGTTTAAGCAACTGCTCATTTTGAAATTTAAAATTATGATGTTGCTACTTTATACAAGCGGCAGACATTTTTTCTAAAACATATTGCAAATAATGTTTTGTAATGGTGAAATTTATTAACCCTACTTATTTTTTTAGCTATTTGCTATTTTTACATCCTATTAAACGATAAAAAAAAATGGGTCTTAGCATCGATACTTATTGTATATTTATATTAAATACTAGAAGGAATCACAAATTAATTTCGTCCTGTAAGCTGGTAACACGTAAAAAAACAACGAAAAGATTCAAATGCATTGCAAGCGTGTAGATAATTGACGTTTATAAACTCTTGAATATCAAAAATAAATGAACATAGAAAATATGAAATGTGCAACTGTGAAATTTACGATTTTAATGCATAGCACAATCATAAAAGTCATGTTAATTAAAATCTTATCACATGCTTTACACTGGAAGCATTATACTGAATATGATCAATAAAAAGCTGAAGTTTATTTGCCAAGATTAGGATAAAATGCACTGTGTTAGGATATGGTAGAGATTTTTCTACAGAAATAATCATCCATTTTCGAAAAATGCTTCGATTTTTTAGATAGTTTTAGAAAAATTAACAATCACAAGCTTCACAGTTCTCCTGGCAAATCTGCACAGTACCTAGCAGTTTGTAGATTTTCGTATAGTATTAACAAATCGAAACTATATAGCTTTTTGGATACTACCCTCCAATCTGCCTATAACTGTAAGAAACTCAATTTTAAAGGAGGATCCTTCAAGAAGGAAGCACAGAAAATAACATAAATTCTGGACTTTAAGGGTAAGGCTAACTTGTTTTTAATACATTCTTTATATACAATTTAACTTAACTTACAACAATATTCCTGTTCAGGTAATATCCTAATATGTTGCTTCCATATATATTCTAAATATATTTTAGTAAAGTATATATATTATATTATGCGCATGTTTATGATTAATTTATGATTAAGTATCGACAGTAAAGCAAGAGACAACAATGCCAGGCAGACTAGGCGGGAATTCAACATGCACTGGGCCATAAACTCAGCTCAAGCAGACACGATTATAGCTCGCTGGCGAATGGCATGGGCCAAATCCTACCCACACCCCGTAGCAAGAGACGCAGAGACGCATTAATTGTTGGCGGCACGCGACACGGTTTTATTAGACTGTTGCTCCTCTGGCTGGCAAACACTTTAAATTCAAATGGAGCACGCTCGGAAGGCAACAAGTGAAAGCAGACGCAGTGTAAGGAAAACAATTATGTCCTTATTTTTATTTTTTTGCAGCAGCAGCAGCAGCCCCAAAGTTGCCCCAGAGTCTGTGCCGCTGACATTGCCGCTGACATTGCTCGCCTAACCTTAGACATTCGCAATTCAATTGACACGATGCCGGCTCCGGATTCGGCTCCACGAGGCGCCATCTCACCCACAGGCGAATGCCTGCCATTGGCTGGGTCGCTCGTGCCCGATGCCATCCACTTCGCGTCCGGGTTGGAGGCGTCCTGTTTGCCGAGCAGCGTCCTGCCTATATAAAAGGTCCAGGCTTTGCATCTGGCTCATTCGATAGACGCGACTTCCTAAGTTCGGCCAAAGTATATCTCGGAACAAATCTAACTCTTGTATTCAACAAAATTTAAATATTTGTTAGTGGTTTTTTTCCAATATTGAATTTAAAGTGAAAGCTAAATTAAAATTAAAGCTAACCCGTTTTAGAATACTTTGTTAAAGTCTCAAAACTTTTGGCAACATTTAAAGGCAACAACTCACAATAATTATTTGCGCCTCATTATCTTTTGTAAGTGTGATTTGAATTAATTTCCCATTTCTATGTTGCCAGCGCGAAAGAAAGTAAATTAGTGGATAAATATGAAATGCTTTAAATTTAGAATAATTTTGATATTGTTTCGTTCAATCAATTCTGTAATTCTTAAAGTTGTCATAAGCGCGGATATACGACTAGTCCAAAATTGAAGCTCTTCAGCTTGATGGGGCTTTATTATATGGGAAAGGATCCTATCTCTGCACATAAAACTGTTCGTGCTGAGTGATTGACTGATTGACTAATTGATTGACTGATTGATGATCAAAGCACGGCACAAGCCATATGAGATGGAAAGCTTTATTTTGTGGATTTTACCTTATGGGATTTAAGTGCACGCTAGCAGGGATTTTTTTTTGGGGGAATTTCACCCGCAATTGTGGAAAATTGACGGAAAATGGTCTTGAACTTATTTGCAGAGGCGTTTCTTTGATAGGGATGGGGGGTCAAAGTTGAATTTTAGGCTTTTTTCTTATTTTCAGTGTCGGGAAATATAGAATATGCTGCTTATTGCCAACCTAATTACGTCTCTGGGCTTGCTGATGCCCGCATTTGGGATTGGATTGCATCAGGTCGAGTCTCGGGAGGGCAGGGAACGTGCTGTTGATGGCATTACGCACCTGGCAAGATCCAGCAATGGTAACTTCAATGGCCACTTGAATGAAAGCATCGACATCAATGTGTTCGAGCGTATAAGAGAGTCCAAAAATCAGACTGGGGCATTCAACGAGAGTGACATCAGCAAGATGCGTGTCTACAATGTTGGCGTTCTAATGGCCTCCCATTTGGGTAAGTGGACTGGGCGGGCTGGGGGCAGCAGCATAAAGTCAAACTCATGTAACCTGCCTTAGATTCACCTTTTGACCTGGAACGCTGCGGCCCGGCTGTGGACTTGGCCCTGGATCAGATTAACAAGCGCTTCCTCAGCCCGCACAACATCCGGCTGGTCAAGAAGAAGGCCAGGTATGTCCTGATTTGCCCAACTTGTTTCCCAATTGCCTCCTAAGTTTAAGTTCTGCCCGGCCAAGACTATCGCATTTGTTGCGTGTTGCACGAGTCAGTTAATTACTCGAATTTCATGGCCGCACTCTTGAGCTCTCCGGGCCTGATCCACCACATCCCATTCCCATTTCCATGCCCCTTCGGCTTTCCATGCAATGCATTTCGAGAATGTTTTGCACAAATTATTTGTCTATGCCTTAATCCTCCTGTGCCGCCCACCCATTCCAGTTACCCGTCGTGCTCGGGCGCCCGGGCGCCGGGATTGGCGGCGGATATGCATTTCAAGGACGATGTCATCGCGTTCATAGGACCCGCGTGCGCTTTCGCTCTGGAGCCGGTTGCCCGTTTGGCCGCTTACTGGAACACCCCCATTATAACGGGAATGGGTGATCAGGTGAGTGAGACATCTGTCCGTGCCCTTCTCAACGCGTATCCGCCATGTCTGCCGCGGCACAGCAAGTGGCTTTCAATTATATGCTCGGCTTGGTGCATAATAGCCAACTAATCCCTCGCACCACACAGCTCCAGGCAGTCACATTCCACCCCCCACACCTTGCCTGGCATTAACAATTAAACGGGATTTTTAAGCAATTCCACGAAAGCCAATTGGAACTGAATCATTGTACAAACTAGTTGCTTGGACAATGTTTAGACGTGGCACAGATTCAATAAACGCATTTCCATTTTCTTTCTTCCACAAAGCCGCCCTCATCCGAGGGCGAACTGACCGTAACCTCCGGCATTCTGGGCAGAATACACAAGTGGAAAAACGAGAGTACGGTAAGTGAATCATCCCAAAGTTTAATTACAAAAAAATAAAAACAATTAAATAAGATATGCTCGACGAGCAGATACCCTGAACCCTTTAACTTTGGTTTTTATAGGCCCATCCCAATGAAATATTCCGAGCTTAAGTATGATAGCGCAGGAGAAATACTTTTCCAGGAATATGTTCCATATATAACATCTAATAATAATATAAAATATATATTATATATCCATATATAATAACTCGTGATCGCCGGACTTAAATGACAATCCAATTGTACCGAAATTGTTTGGTTCAATTCGCGCTACTTGCGAAAATAGGAGATTTGAACTTGCATCTTCTCGCTTGCTAGTCCGACGCGCAGGCAACCCTTGTGTATGATGTATGATGTATTTCATACAAGCTTTGACCCTCATTTTTCCGTACTTGGATGTCGAATTGGGTCAGTCAGTCGTTTAGTCAGTCAGGACAAACTCTTATATATAAAAAGTAGACTAAAATAAGGGAAGATTTAAAATTTGATTGTTAACGCTTCTAATAAGTCTTTCTTTCAAGTTGTTGTGATAGACTTAACATTCATCTGCAAGAGGTTCAGATACTTTTTCGTAGTACTGTGTGGCTGCAACGAGACTTTTGTTACAGGGCATGTTCAAGGACAAGTCGAAGTATCCGACGCTGACGCGAATGTCCTATTGCCAGTGTCGCCTCAAGCTGGTCTTCGCCAGCGTCTTTCGTCAGTTCAACTGGAAGCATGTGGCGCTCTTGGTGGATCGTTCGGAACTATTCTCGTTGACGGTTGGCAAGAATCTGGAGTACGGACTGCGTCAGGAGGGACTGTTGAGTTTCGTGCGCGAGCTGAACGGCAACGAGGAGGAGATATACGAGAACTATCTCAGGGACGCGAGCATGTATGCGCGGGGTAAGGCTCACAACTCAATCTGACAGATTTGAATGTTAAAAATTGGACACATGTGTCTCTGTGCTCCGATCCTAGTGGTCATCCTGTCTGTGCGCGGTGTTCTCGTGCGCAAGTTTATGCTGGCCGCGCACAGTCTGGGCATGACGAACGGCGAGTGGGTGTTCCTCGATGTGGAGATATTCCAGAGCGCCT